GAAAATGAAGGAGGAAAACGGAAATACATGCAAGATGACCCAGAAATGCTTAAGAAGCAACAAGAATGAGGCATTCTGTAAGAAACTGAGGAAAGAGGATGGGTTTTATAGTTAAAATTCGGCTTCACCACATACTTGTAGCACCACTCCATTTCTAAAGCAAGGATACTAATCACCCCCACATTCACTCCTTCGCTCACCCAACAAACATTTATTGGGCACCTATCATGTGCCAGGCACACCAAGCTTATTGTAGAGATTAAATGAAATGGCATGAAGTCTCCACTATGTTACCAAGACAAATGTGACGGCTCAAGGGACTGCGTGTTCCGACCGCATACCCACCTGCCACACCTACTCACTCTCAGAAGGGTCTCATTTGAACAAAGGGCATGGTCACTGCAGCTACTAAGAGTCTCCTAACTTGTCCTCATGTCTGTGGCTTTGCCTTTTCCTCTGTCCTTCTCCAGCGAACAAGCGGGTTTTCCCCCAGAATTATAGTCAGCCAACATCACTGTCCTGCTTCACATTTCCCAGTGGCATTCATCAAACTGCAAATAAAACCCAGAGTCCTTTCTCCTGCCTTACAAAGGGCTGTATGACCCAGCTGACTGTGCTCTACCAGTTCTCTATTCCTTCAAGGAGCCGCGTTTCGTCCTGTGTTAGAACCATGGCATGGGCTGTTCTCTGTCTACACTCTTCCCCCTTCCTGTCTCACAGATGGCCTTCTTACTATCATTTGTTTCTCCATTTAAATGTGTCTTCATCAGGGGGATCTGGTAGGGACCCCAAATCTAGCAAAGGCTCGCATTCACTTTCTCTGGCATCAGTCTAATTTTGTGTGGCCCTTCTTCCCAGCTGATGTGGGTCTTCTTGTTTATTATCACTTGCTTTCCCATCTAGGCTGCAAGCTCGAGTGGGTTGAATCCTCGCATGCTTTGTTCACTCCGGAGTCTAGCTAAAAATAGGTGTTCAACAAATATTTGCTGGAGACACAAATACATGCTCTGTTAGATTGAATTTGTGTGGTTCTGTAATGCAGAGGCAGCTGGTCTCGGAGAAGTCCAGCCTGTGCATGAAAAACCCTGAACACTCTTCATAAGAAACAGTGTCTTTACCAACAAAGTTACCTGATATGTTGAATCAAAGAAGAAACCAATCTGAAACTCACAAGTTCAGGATAAAGCTATAAAATTAAAGAACCCTAGTGGTTGAGTGTACAGTTTCCAACTCTACTAATTGCAGTTTTTAATACCTACCTCTGCTCCTTTGGTATTCAGAACCATGTCCAGTTAAAATACAGAAGATTTTGATGAGATGCTAGAAAGGGTTTTAGTTAAGTGTTTGAGGGTGGGATGACTGAAGAGGAAACCTCCTTTGGATTCCTGGACCATTTCCACTGTGTGTGTGTGTGTGTGTATGTGTGTGTGTGTAGGCTTCCCCAAACCATGGGTAAAGACCTCAGTCCCACAAGATGGCCTTCCACTCTAGGCATCAGTAGGAAGCCCATGTTGTTACCTGTGCTTCAAACTGACCAGTTACCAAACTGGAAATTCCAACAAGCCCTCCAATACAGATGCCAATTGTCGCTCAGAAGTGACCTGTATATAGTTCTAACCAACAGGCTGCAAACCAGAGGTTCCCACAACCCTCTCCTTAAGTTCTATTAATTTGCTCACAGAACTCAGGAAACCTGTTTCCTCCCTAGATTAAAGATATATATTATAAAGATTGTTAAAGGTTACAAATCAACAGTTAGATGAAGAGACACATAGGGCAAAGCAGCAAACAAAGGAGCTTCTTGTCCTCATAGAATTTGGGGCCTGGCACGGTTGCCTATGGAAATATTCTGGTTCCCCAACCTAGCAGCTCTCAGAATCCCCTCCTTTTGGGGGGTTTTATGGAGGCATCATTACTTAGGCATGTTGATCAGCTCATTGGCCATTGGTGATTGATTCAACCTCCAGCTCCTCTCCCCTACCCTGAAATCAGCAGGTGAGACAGAAAGTTCCAACCCTCTCTTTCTGGTTGGTTCCCTCAACCCTTGGCCTTTTCCCAAAAGTTGTTTCATTTCATAGACCTGGTTGTAACGGAAAGGAATTTGTTATGAATACGAGACATCCAGGTCACCTTGATGGCTCTGAAGCTATGTCAGAAACTGAGAAGGGGAGACCAGATATTATGACAGAGATGTTCCACTGCTCTTATCCCTCAGGAAATTCCAAGGGTTTCCGGAGCTATGAGCCAGGAAGTGAAGATAAAGACCAAATATATTTGAGAAATATATTTTGGTCATCTGAGTGGTCAAATACATATATTTCTTATAAATCACAATATCATAGAATCTCATGTGAGCAAATCATGGGCTCAAATCCTCATTTCTACCATCTCCCATGTAAAGTTTTTTTTTTTTTTTTTTTATGGAGCAACACATTATCTTAGATCTCAAACTCTGAGGGTACAAAATAAAAATAATCTGTACTTCAAGAAAAAGCAAGGATCCTATTTCAAATCTATGAAAATGGCTAGTGTTGCAAGAAAGTTGAAGAAAACATTATCACTACAGAATGCAAATAACTCACATCATATGTAACCTGAAGGAAGAAGTGTACCACTGATCTCCTGTCTGTGACTCTTTTCACTCTGAACTGGATTCCTGGACAGAGCATATAGTAACTGCTCAGTAAGGAACTGGAATCTTAAGGCAGTTCTGTCTGGGAACAAATTTCAGCTAGTGCTGAGTTTTCATAACCTATATTATAAAGATTTTACAGAGAATTACAAACTTTTTTACTTAATTCACTTGCTTTATTTCAACCTCTACATCTTAAAAAAAAAAAAAAGTTATGGCTGATCTTTCCTCATGTGGTACAAAGGCCAACTACCTGAAAATCTCCTATGTTTCCCCATATGTACTTTTTGGTAGCTGCTCTCTAACGGTGGCCTCTGTAGCCAGTATTTTGAGGTGTCCTGAAGGACCTCCCTGAACCCCAGCATCTGCCCAGCCACTGTGCCTAAAACCCTCATGAATTCTTTATGAAACAGATAATCCTAAGGATCTAGTGGAAGGATATTAACTGTATTAGAGCAAGAGGTCACCAAGGAGGCGATATTTTAACTAATTTGCTCATTGGTGTTGATGAGGTTGACACATTAAACTCATTACCTCCCAAAGTCACCTAAACTGTGTCTTCCAAGGCAAATGTTGATTAACAGAGTATCTGGTAAAAAGAGACATGACATATTATGTTGAATGAATAATGAAAACGAGACAAAAGTAGACTAAGGTATAGCTGTATCAGTGAAATTCCTGAATGGGAAAATAGAGAAGAAATTTAGTAAAATAAAGTCAATGGGCTGCTAGAGGGACACTTTAAAAAGGGGGGGCATATAGAATCAAGCCCCTCTCCCCCCTCCCTCAAAATTTTGTCCCTAGCTGGCCCTAAAAATGTCAAACCCATTCTAAATACCCTTATTATAATTAGTTGAGTTTCTCAGATTCTAAAAGCTATTGTGATAATTAACTTAAGAAAACCACTCTGCCCTTTACCAGTGGCATTTAATTGAATCTATAATAATCTGTACTTTGCCTAATAATACATTAAGTCTGCAGCTATGTGTTGAAAAAAGACATAAGGAGGACAATAAAAATTGTCAATAAAAAGAGACAATAAAAAGGTGAGCAGGAGAGGGGACATTCCAAATTGTTGAGCCATAATTTATAAAGACATACTTGCATTACTGGATTCTGGATGTGAAAGAAGTCACAGGCAAAAGGCTACCAAAGAATTCAAATGAGTGGTCTGAAAAGCAAAGACGAAGGGAGGTGAAAACATTAGAAGTAGGATAATTAAAGACCTGGGCTGGACAAAGGGAAATTTTAGAAACTCCCACCAAGAGCTAAATATCATTCTGAGCTTATAAAGGTGAGTCCCTCCACCTAGACAAGGCGCACTAACGGTAATGCAGAGCAAGGGAACCCACTATGTGGCAAGGCATACATGATTGTCATACTTCTAAAGAAGACAAAGTCAACAAACTTCAGACCAATTCATAAAATGAACAAATCACTAAGAAAATTAATAAGATATTAAGAAGTTGACCTGATTTCCATTTTTCCCCCTTCTTTCACAATCCTTCGAGAAAACTTAAAATTTCTTTGTTGCTGTCGCAGCATTATTCTTTGGATGCTGGACCAAAACCCAATTCCAAACTACTGGAATCACTCCAATGGTGGTTTCTTTCTTTTATTTTTATTGATGTATTTATTTTTAGCATCTCGCTCTGCACTGTCAGGCATCACGTGCTCTCCGAAATTCACTGGACCTTAAGGAATTCTTTCGCATCTACTCTTTGCTGAATGTTAAGATTTCAAGGCCGGTTGATCCTCTAAAGATGCTTCTAGGTGAGTGGAAATGACCAAAATTCAGAGAACTTAAGACCCCAGTGCAGATCTGCAGGTTTCTGGGTCCATGATAACGGTGCCTGGGTTCAGCCCCACTCATATCCCTGCATTGCCAAACTACCCAGAACACAGTCTATTCTCAATTTTAAAAGAGAATATCAAGACAGCTCAACTAACATTTACTGAACATCACCTGTATGCAAGACTATCATAAGTGCTGTAAATACAGAGACAGATGAAAAGAGCAAAGCCGGGAATGGCATTCAGTTTCATCTCTCCTCCCTGAATCTCTGCCTCAAATTCACTGGAAAATATCATTATCAGGAAGTGACCTTGACACAGATACTCACATTGTGTGCTCTGCTACAAAAACCAGAATGGTTTTGTGGTCTGTTTCTACATCATGCATCTCATAAAACATGTCCACAAAGGATGAGAAAGAAAATACTTGGCATGTGTAGGTATAGGATATGCACCCCTCCATTTTAATCCAGTTCCTTCATTTTAGTTACACATCAAGACATGGGTACGATACACACACACTCTGAGCACAATGATCAAGGTCCTGACCAAAAACCACTGCTTCCTTTCCCCCTAAGTCACAGCTTGTCATTATGGCTGTTCGACTCTTTTTTTCATAAGCCCTTCATGCCCAGGTGACTCGAGGCAGGTGAACCAACAAACACAAAATCCAGAACTACCTTGCAAAGGATTTACAGAGACGAAAGAAACTTGAACCCCAAGGAATTTTACCTGTTCGGTTTCTGTCAGGGCTCTCCAGAAGGCATTTTAACGGAGACAGTCATCCGCTGAGAACCAGAAACAGCTGTTCTGAATTGTTTTTCAAATTAAAAACAAGCTGTTTCTGAATAGCGTTAAGAAAAGGGGAATCTCAGAATTAGGTCAGATCAGGGTGTGACCCCAACAAGACTTTGGGGCCAGACACGGCTCTAATTCTTGTCCCTCTAATGACTAGATGTGTGGCATGAACAAATTACTTAACCTCGCTCTCAGATCCCTCACGCGTAAACGGGGTCCTACAGCATTTGTAAAACACCTGGTTTGCCACTTAGTCAATGGGGAGACCCTGAGTAGGTGAAAATAATCTTGGTATAAAGAACTATCAGGAACAATTTCTTTGTAATCTTTGCATTTCTTTGTAATTAGTGTTGCAACTGCAAACACTTATTAATAACATTTCTCATTCTGTGACTGCAATAAAGGACTCTTTCTCAGTGAAAGACCATCACTGGGCCAGGGAGGGGAGAAGGTACTGTTGCCTAAGTACAACCCAAAATGATTCAGATAGAGAAACCTAAAACCGGCTCAGATGATTCTCACGTGAAAAATAAAAAAATCGAAAGCAGACAAAAAAGATGCTAAACAGCATGACTAACAATTTAGGGATGGCACAGTTAGCAAATAAAATTCAGGACACTCAGTTAAATTGGAAGTTTGGATAAAAAGACCAATTTATTTTTTAGCATAATCGTGTCACAAATACTGTTCCTTTAACTGGAGTCATGTATTTCATCTGGCAACCCTAACCAGTGTGGTAACCTGTGCAAAAAAAAGGAGAAAGGGAAAAAACAAAAGTGGGGAGAAAGAATATGTGTAGCTAACTGTTTAATTATACATGTATGAAATGGAGTTTGAAGATTTGCTTCTGGGAGGGGAGCTAGACGGGAGGCACTCTTTGGCCCTTTTCAATTTTGAACCACATGAAAGTATTACATATTTTTAAAACAAATGGCACTATAAAAATTAAAAATAATTGTAATGGGAGGGAAGAATCAATATAGAGAGGACATAAGTAATACAGACAATACACCTGGAAAACAAAACTGAGAGGAATCTGTCAAAACATCTTATTCTATTACCCTCTGGTTTTTCAGTGTAGACGTAAATAGGATTAATATTAACAATCACTTGTTGAGCTGCCAGATTATAATGGGAATTAATATTAGCAGCCTCCTGCGGAGTTGCTATTACGCTAAGTACTTTATATACTTTAGTTAATTTAATCCTCACAATAACCCTTGGGGGTTTTGCAAACGAAAAGGCTGAAACTTAGAAAGATTAATTAATTTGCCCAAATCACACAACTAATGATTGGCAGGTCTGGAGTTTAAATCTAGGTCAGTCAGAATCCACAGCTTGTTGCTTTTAAACACAAAAGACAATACTGGACTGTCTTTCAGCATGTGGATTCCCAAAGTCAGGAAATTTGTATTTAAGCATGAAAAGCAATACAGGAAGAACAACGAATGCACACGTTCATTTTAGGCCAGCATCAGTCACCGAGCTATGAAACATGACACCCCTGTGATTTTTTGTTAAGTAAATATATAAGTATACCTTGCTTTATGCAACGCCTATATTCCAGGACAGTTGTTTATAAATGACATTTATGCAATTGTAATCATATTTAGAGTAAAACCGGAAGTCTGCTTTTTAAACAAAGTGTGTTAAATTTGGAAGATAAATATGAGCTCAGTTTCACTGTTTTGGGGCAGGGCACAAAACGAGATCATCTAGGAATATGTTATTTGTCCTTCAGAGTTGGGGGTCTTAATATAAAATATTACTGGTATTTTATGTATGGAGAGGATACTTTGCTAAATTACAAAGGATTTAATCAGCTAAATTAAATTTATACCCTGAGCCTACCTTTGGCTAGTTTATTGTTTAAAAAGCATGAGTAAATATTTGCTATAGAGAAGCAGAATGTCCCTTACCTTACCAAACAAGTATTATTTTCATAGCTTATCAGAGACAGGAATATGTTACAGGACTCTTTAGTTTTCACTGTAAATGGTTTTTAAAAGATTTCTCCAAAATCTATTTTCAGCTACACATCTTATACACGTCCCCCAATGATCTGCCTTCTTTAGATGGCAATGTGTGGGGAAGGGGAAGGAGGGGGTTATCTACTGGAGTTGATGATCAAAGGCTAATAATATTTCAAGAGTCTTTAGTAATTTTATAAACAGTTGACCAAAAGCTATCACCCCATTGAGAAGAGAGCCACAGATTCCCTGACTAGTTGCCAGGATTTCTGTCAGAGGTCAGGATAGGAGTGGCTGAAGGCAGGTAAGTGTCCCCTCCAGTCCATCGGCTACTTGAGCAGCATGCTGAGGTTAAGGCAAGACTTGATTTCCCCATGTTCAAACTTTGTGCCTTCTATACTACATCAAGTCTTCTGAGCAGCCAGTATCACGATTGTGAATTCAGTAAAAATCATTTTAGAAATGATCATTTAAAATCATGCCCAAAGATGCTATTGGCCTGGCAATGGCTCAATTTGTCAAAGGCGGCTGCCATCTTGGTAGAACAGTATTTTTATCTTCATCTAAATATTCTATTTATTTTCCTCTTTATTCCTTATAAAAGGGAGCATTTTCTTTGAAAGTATATAATACTAAAGAATACGTATTAAATGCTAGATCAACATTATCAAAGATTTTATCTAAATAGCCAAGAGTAATGGAGGATTTTTTATTACTTTGAGCTCTCTGGAAACAGACAGCCCTCCATCTCCCCACCTCTTATCACCCATACCGTACCATGAAATGTATTTCTTTTTTATATTTACACATATTTGATTCAGTAGGTATTTTCCAGAATGCATTATGTTCTGGTAAAGTACTGCCAGTAGTCAATCTGCATAAAACTCATATTATTTCCAATAAATCAAACTGTATATCCATTTAATTGGATTTATTATGTGTAACTAAATCGAGTTTTTTTATTTACCCTTCTTCATTTTAAAAATAGGGAAACTGAATTGTTTATATCATTTATAAACTATGATGGTTAAAAAATGTTTTCCTTCAGTTTTCTGAAGCTCTTGTTTTTTCCGCTCTGTAGGTCAACAGCCTAGACTTCTTTTTTTTTTTTAACATGTAATGTATTATTTACATCAGGGGTACAGGTCTGTGAATCATTGGTCTTTCACAATTCACAGCATTCACCATAGCACATACCCTCCCCAATGTTCATAACCCAGCCACCCTATCCCTTCCCTCCACTCCCAGCAACCCTCAGTTTGTTTCCTGAGATTAAGAGTCTCTTATGGTTTGTTTCCCTCCTGATTCCATCTTGTTCATTTTTTCCCTCCCAAACCCCCCACGACCCTCCCCCCACCCTGCTCTCAAATTCCTCATATCAGAGAGATCATATGATAATCAACAGCCTAGTCTTACTTAAATATCTTCTTATCTAGAGTCTGGGGAAATATATGTACATTTGAATAACTGTTTTTTTTTTCTTTATTTTTTTTAAAGATTTTATTTATTTATTTGAGAGCGAGACAGTGAGAGAGAGCATGAGCGAGGAGGTCAGAGGGAGAAGCAGACTCCCCATGGAGCTGGGAGCCTGATGTGGGACTCGATCCCGGGACTCCGGGATCATGACCTGAGCTGAAGGCAGTCGTCCAACTAACTGAGCCACCCAGGAGTCCCTTCTTTATATTTCTTTCTCAGCATAGCACATATACCCTCCCCCAATGTCCATCACCCAGCCACCCCATCCCTCCCACCACCCTCCCCTCCAGCAACCCTCAGTTTGTTTTTATCTTAACATTTCTTTACTCACTATTTTAGCTTATACTTTATGACTCTCTCCAAATTGTGTCAGAAAATTCTTAGCACCAGTGGTAAGATGAATTCAAAAATAAAAATGAGGACAGATATTTAAAAGAGACAGGCTTGGTGGAGTCAGTTTCTGGTATATCTCACCTCATAATCAACACAATAATTCTAATTAACACAGTGTTTTAAACTGGAATAGTCTCTGGTGTGGGTTGGGGGCCATAGCTTTCCTTATTTTTCTGGGATGTTCCATGTTGACTCTCCAACCCACAAACAAATTCACATGTCCTCTTTCTACAGTGATTTTGGAAGCATCAAATCCCCCTCCCATTTACCAGAAAACTGGATAATTCCACCACTATAATAATTTCATCTGAAGCTCTTTAAAAATGTAAATGTCAGGACGCCTGGGTAGCTCAGTGGGTTAAAGCCTCTGCCTTCGACTCAGGTCATGATCCCGAGATCCTGGGATCGAGCCCCGCATCGGGCTCTCTGCTCAGTGGGGAGCCTGCTTCTCCCTCTCTCTCTGCCTGCATCTCTGCCTACTTGTGATCTCTGTCTATCAAATAAATAAATAAAATTTAAAAAAAAATGTAAATGTCAGCATAACCTGTGTGATAGTATCATATTTCACTTCAGCATTCTGGAAACATACAGAAAAGTTCAGATCCTCATGGACATGTTTCATAGAACAATGACATAAGATTAGTGTCTTGGGCTTTCTTATAGTCAATATAAAAGCAATCATACAAGGTCCATTTCTACATTATTTATAAAACTACAACTAAAAACATTATCCATGATGGGCTTTTTGCTATGAAGTTACTATTAAAATGTAACAATAGAAAAAGAAATGTGTCTCTCCCAATAAATTGATATACTTTCTTTAATCTGATAAGAAAAGCTATGGTCCTCATTATTTTTGTTTGTTTGTTTCTGTTGCCTGGAAGATCAGAATTCCATTTTATTTCCTTAATGTTTTAGTGATTAAAGGATCCCTGGATAAACTACTTTACGTCTCTCTACTTCTGGACTACATGACTCTGTTTTTGCTTGTTTTTTTCTCGTTCCTTTAGCTACTTGACTGTGTTTTTATCTCTAAATTATCACAAACGTTTCTGTGGGAGGAAGTAAACAGCTGATTTTTTTTTTAATTCATTTATTTATTTGACAGACAGAGATCACAAGTAGGCAGAGAGACAGGTGGGCGAGGGGAAGCAGGCTCCCCGCTGAGCAGAGAGTCCGATGCAGGGCTCAATCCCAGGACCCTGGGACCATGACCTGAGCCAAACCAGAGGGTTTAAACCACTGAGCCACCCAGGTGCCCCTAAACAGCTGATTCTTGTTAATCATGGTAGTTTTGTTCCGTAAAGTCACCACAAATACTGAATTATTGAAGATGGAGCTATTGTTCCTAGGAGAAATACAGGATTAAGTCCCTGTGAGCTTCTGGTCACCAACTGTTCAATATAAACTTTATTTTATGTGTATTTCTGTTAAGGACACCTTGTTTAATATTATCATTGATTCACAAACATTGAACTCATGGGCAATAGCACCATAACTCATGCCTCAATGAAGCTTATCTGACACGTATTTTCTTCATAAGGCACATCACAGCCTTCTCGCACTTAAGAACACTAATCACTTCAGTGATATGCTTGGGGGCATTTTAAACAGAAAACTACCAGCTAAAGGCATAAAAATGGGAAACGTGTGGCATTAAATAAACCATGAAAAGGACACTCATGAGAAACTGAAAGGTAAGAAACTGAAACAAGACAGCATCAACTTGTTTGACCTCAGCTGGGAACATGCACATCAGGAGACTCACAATTTTCCCCATGTCTATGCATGTTTGCGAATGACCACAAAGATACCAGAAATATTGATCTTGGAGTTACAAATAAAGTTTAAGTAATAGGCAAATGTATAAATCTACAACTGGCAAATTATGTGGATTTGTTGTATGACTTCCCAAAACTAACACTATTATATTTTGGCCAATTAGCATGTTAGCCACAATTAGAATATCAGATTATGGAGTGGAAAGGAGGGGCTTGAGGGAATGGGACCAGGGACAGGTACACTTTGATTCTCTTGTGTAAATGAGAGAAAGGTTACAGCAAAGGCAAGAGGAGCAGATCCCAGGGGAGCTGCCAGGGAGTCGAACAAGGGACTTAGGTCCCTGGGACAAGGAGAAGCAAGGTGAGCCTAAAATGGATACAGCATTAACCTATTTCACAACTATACTTTTTCCTATTGTGGTGACCCTTTTATTATAACCATTATCACTTAACTAGGGGAATTCAGGGGAACTTTTTTTCTTCCCCAGTAGATTCCTACCCCAAAATTAGAAAAAGTATATCAGGCTATATGACCCGGTATTGAAAAGCTAGTATGTCTCAGGGAAAAGAAGCCTGATACATAATGTGTTGATTTTGCCCAAGTTGTTAGCAAAAGTAGTAAGGGAGACTCTTCTTTCTAGTTGATGATGAAAAATGTTATTAAACTAGAACAGCTACTCTTACCTCCCCTACACCTCTATCTTCAGTGATACCAACATAAAAACACACACTAGGCAAAAGCTGGTAAAAAGGTAAGTTGAGACAGACACGTGTAAATTTTGTAGGACTAATTGCAAAGCTGATCAGTCTGTTCAGTTAGGATGCTGCACACAGTAGGTGCTCCAGGGATCAACTATATTAGCATCAGCTCTCTATAAAAACAGGTTAGTTCATGAAGTGAAAATTGCATCTGTTTTCCCTCTCTGTTTGGCTCATCACTAACACTAATAAAGCCTCCTTGATCTTTCACTAAGCAAAAATCACTGGGACTATGAGCACCAGGGAGCTCCAGAGATATTTCAGCTCATGGCTATCTGTCATGGTTCATGGCTAATTCAATGTCTTTTTCCACAAGGTTATTTCTCATGGAAGATACTGATATATAGAAAAACCATAATGGTACCTGTGTTTTATGCATGAACTTGGCTTGGTTCTTTAAGTCACACCCATGTTATTTCAGACCCCACCCTGATTACTATGATAGAAGCCATCTCATGGTTATGGAATGGCTTTCCTTCTAGTTCTGTGCTAGTCGCACTTCTGTCCTTCATTTGGACTGTGATCCTAAACCTATCTGAAGGAGCAACAGACATACAGACTCTAGCATATGAGGGATGGTTGCTCTCATAGTCATGGTTTTAAAGATTATTTTGATCTCGATTATCTGAAACGGAGGAAAAATGTATAGCTCCAGTTTGGCCGAAGTTTATAAAATCTGAAGAAATTTTTTAAGGAAGACTTCATCATTTACATTTATATTTCAAAAGAATAGAAGTAATCCCCCCCCCTTACCATATGACATTTTAACATGTTGGGATCAAGTAGACTGAGCTGAAGGTTAGGATATGTCTCATTTGCAAGGAAGCCAGTTTTCCCTGCTTTACTGTGTAATAGTTTAACATTGGTCCCCTGGCCCAGCTGGTATGTAGCAGGCACACGCCAGTGTGTCTTAAATGCTCCTTTATTCTTACTGGTCAGCAGGTGCCATGCTAGTTTTTCAACATCTCTACTATTACCCATAGTCCCTGGGGAACCAGGAGAGGAAACAGGAGAGATGAGTTCCAATTACACCCTTGATGCTATTTTTAAAACCACTTCAAGTGCAAGTTCTCCCATCGAAAGCACCTTGTTATTATAGGGTAGCTTAGCACTACTAAAACAACTAAAAAAATACATTTTATTAAAAATCTAAAGTTAGGGGCATCTGGGGTGGCTCAGTGGGTTAAAGCCTCTGCCTTTGGCTCAGGTCGTGATCCCAGGGTCCTGGGACTGAACCCCACATCGGGCTCTCTGCTCAGCAGGGAGCCTGCTTCCTCCTCTCTCTCTCTGCCTGCCTCTCTGCCTGCTTGTGATCTCTGTCTGTCAAATAAATAAAATAAAATCTTTTAAAAAAATCTAAAATTATAGGTACACAATTACCACAAAGCTTTAATACATATTAAATATTAAATATTTAACTATATTAAATAGAACTATTAAATAAATATATTAAATACTAAATAGGAAAATTAAATATTAAAATATAAAATATTTAAGAAATATTTAAACGTTGCATATGGTGCTAATTTATTTTAATGCCTTTCTGAACCTCAATCATCAGAAAAAGTTGTGGCACAAACCCCATTCAGATTATGCTACTCACTGACACAAATGTGACAAATGGTATACATAAATTTGAAGGACAGTGATTGACTTTATAGAGTTTTAGAGTCTCTGTTCATTAAAAAATAATAGAAAGCCAAAAAATTACAAGGGCATGAATTGAAGATATTTACAACACATATTTCTGTCTGAAACTAGCAAATCTAAGGTAAAATGGTTGCGGCAACCCCCAGACTAAGAATATTTTTTAAATAGGCATTTTTTCTCTTAAAAGTAAAAGATAAAACCTAACACCAATAAATATCTTAAACTATATTATAACCAATGTTTTAATTTCTGCTTTGACCCATACCATAGTAAAAAAGGATTTCTACCTAACCTCTTTATGTGCTCCTAATGGTTATTTATTTATTTATTTTTGTCTTTCTTGATATTGCCATCTAAGCTTTGATGGGCTTCAGACTGTCCAGACACATCACATTATACTTAAAAATTAGTTGAAAATATCTGTCTAAATTTTCTGTTCAAACATAAAGCTTTATAGAACTCTTTTTCTGAAAAATAGCTCAGAATCTCACATCTTTGAAAAGAGACTGGAAGTGAAATCAGTACATTTGATTAAGTATTCTAGTAGTTCTGCAAAAAAAAAAAAAAATTAAAATTAAAATTAAAAATCCCATAGAACCCTCTTAAAAATTCCTGTAGTTACCTGACCCAGGTTTTTCCTGCAGTGGAATAAATAGACAACATCTTACATAACCCTTCTTACAAACAAGTGGGTCAACTACTTCCATGTCAGTTTTATATATTTCAGTGACTTGAGATTATTATTTGGAGATAAGCCAAGTACAGATAGAAACCCAGGTCCAAATTTTCCCATGATGAACTCATTAGTTCACTTTGGGCTATTTCTTACAAAGCAGCCTTCTGCTATCAGACACTTGACCTACCTTGTTGCTTGACAACACTTCCAAATAAGTTAATGTGGCAAACACAGGACTCTGTTTTACTTACTGTAATCAGTAAGGTATATTTTTAACTCTAAGGAAAGTCAAACTATTTAATCTTTGTGGTTCCTGTGAATTGTTTAAGTCCTCAATTCTGAACCATTTTCTTTTATGTAGTAAGTTGGCTTTTCTAGACTGACAGGTTAGAAATTGGACTGAATAGTATACTGGTGTCTATTTCTGAAGGTAACAACTCAAAGGGCAGTAATGGTTTTAAAGATCACTCTAAATTTACCCAGATGCAATCAACTAAGAGATCTTTGGTGTCATGTATCTAAAAGGTTGGCCATTTAGTTTGTAATTGTGGGCCTGGACCCATTGAGAGGTTATGGAGCCATTTACAAGCCCATCTCTTATGCTAGTGGTTGGCTGAGGTTGGCTCAGAAAAATGCTACCATTCCTGATGGAAAAAAGGCTTCTGCTGATTAATCAATTACAATTACGTCCGTCTGCAGACTAACCACAGTGTCTGGTAGTTTACCACCTGAGTCTACTTACATATATTTGTAATGTTTATCCATGAGACAGGACGTGGAGAACTTACTGTCAAGAACATATAGTTAAGTGTTACGGACAGTAATGGTGAGCAAACCTCAAACTATCAGAGGGCCTATTCCCTTCCTGAGGACTGACTTAAGAGATTCTACAGAAGGACACCAATCACCCTTCCTATAATGGGATGTGACAATATTTTCAGAACAAGGGATTTGAACACGTATCTAGCCCAGGATCTGCCCTCAATAATGGAAGATTTTATATGAGAGCTGCTCAAGAATTTTCAGGCCATAGTATCACCAATAACATGGACCACATTAGCTTTTATTTATGAAGTTCTTTTTTGCCACAAATTGTTCCCCTACAGTTCTATTCATACACCTGCAACTTCTAACATTATGCATGTCTTTGGATTTTTGCTACATAAAGTAAATATGCTCACTGGGAAGAGTAATTCATGAGCTGTTTTCAGTCATAGCTACTTAGGAGAGTTTAACTCGTTAGAAAGAATAGTCAACAAGCCACTAATTCCCCATCTTAGAAGCAACAAAATACTAAAAAGAGAAAATTGGGCTCTGAGATAAAGTTCTGAAAAAGAATAATTTTCTCTTGACAAGTACTAAAAAGGAAGTTCTTTGCTCCACTTTCAATGAATGTCAAAGAAAAAAAGACTCAAGGAGACAATTTTACCTCCATGACAATATGGACTATGTAATACATTTTTTTGTTCTGGCAGGAGTTTAGGGATATAGGGAATGCTTGACCTTATAAGAAGCTAACTTACTCCCAATTATGTAGAGAAGCTGAGGGTATATCAGTTCTCTAAAATGTCTGCAAAAAAAAATCTTTTCTTCCTTAATAAAGCCTTAGGACAAAAGCAATTACTCTTAAGAATGTTAGCGATTTACTTATAGACACCATTGCTAGAGTATAAATGTACTTCTGGAAACTTGACACTGGAGTGATTATCATAAAAATATTTATTCTCCTCTTTAGTTCTAGTCTCAATTCATTTCAGATCCAGTTAAGTAGGATAATTTCAAAGTAATGGGAATAAAATTATATTTGCTGCTTAAAAAGAATGAAAAAATGTGGAAGCAACCCAGTGTTCATCACATGAATGGATAAAGAAGATGCAGTGTATATATACAATGGAATATTACTCAGCCATTAAAAAGAATGAAATTTTCAGGCACCTGGGTGGCTCAGTGGGTTAAAGGCTCTGCCTTCAGCTCGGGTCATGATCCCAGGGTCCTGGGATCGAGCCCCACATTGGGCTCTCTGTTCTGCAGGGAGCCTGTTTCCTTCTCTCTCTCTGCCCGCTTCTCTGCCTACTTGTGATCCCTGCCAAATAAATAAATAATATCTTAAAAAAAAAAAAACAGAATGAAATCTTGACATTTGAGACAACATGGATGGATGTAGAGGGTATAGTCCTAAGTGAAATAAGTCAGTCAGAGAAAGATAAATACCATATGATTTAACACATATGTGGAATTTAAGGGGGGAAAAAACCTAATGAACAAAAAAAAGAGAGACAAACAAAAAACAGATTCTGAAATACAGAGACCAAACTAATGGCTGTTAGAGGGATGGTTGTTTCGGGAACGGCTGAAATAAAGGGGATTAAGAGTACACTTATCTTGATGAGCACCGAGAAATGTGTAGAATTGTTGAATCATTATGTTGCGCACCTGAAACTAAACTGTATATTAAATAAACGTGAAAATAAAATGAAGAATTAAAAAAAGATATTATTCAAGATTCAGTCTACTTCTTAGACTTTTCTTAATTAGTGTTGGATTTGGTATATGTTCTTAGTATCTTGGAGGGCTAGGGAGCATATCAGGCCAAGAGAAAAACCTTAAGTAGATAAAAACTTTTACTTCTGCCCTTAAATGCCCTTTTCCTCAAGACCCTGTGGTTCGGAGAAGACCTCACTGTCACCCACATCACTCAATTCAATTCTGCCTTTAAATCATTCCTTGGGCTGATTTTGGCAATAATGTTAAAAGAAACTAGACTCATAAAGATCATGGCTAGAAGACATATGAAACATGCTTATTTTAAACTTCTTTCATCTTTTTCATAGCTTGGCATAAATGTCTGAAACCTCAACAGAATATATGTAAAAAAAAACTTACCCAAACAGAAAGTGGTAGTAAGAAAAGGTAGAATTTGTAAAACTGTGCTCATTAAAATGAAAATGACCAAACTATTGATGTTCTTCCACAGTGATCGAGATTTGAAAACTGGTGCATTAAATGAATGCATTCTTTTGGTGGTAACATTTCAAAGCTGAAAATGATGGTGGTTGTTGTCAGTCTTTAATCAAGGACTTGTTATCAATGCAAATTTTCATCCCTGACAACAGTTTCAAAGAGCTATAATAGATCGTGATCTACACAGGTTCATCATAAGTCACAGCTTTTATGAAAAACACATTTGTGCAGAACAAGATGTCGGAAATGATGTATCTGTAACAAAGAATGCTTCACACACCTGGAATCCAGAAGGGAAAGAGAGAACACCTCAATTTGACAAGTGGGCATGCAGAACGTTCTCATACTAGTTACTTAATAATCAGAAATATGTTTCTGATCAGAAATAATCAGAAAAATCAGAATGTTTTTAAATGTAATGAACTATTTCCAGGACCTTTTCAAATAGTGAACTGGAAAGCATATTGTCATGGGGATAGAGATGGGATGAGAAAGAAGAGGTAGGAGAGAGAGAGAATGTCGCCCTAAACTTGTCAATCACTTGACATATATTTACATTTGACAATATTTTACATATTGTTGGAAATTGCAAAAGTAATCGTTATTAGAGAATTATTCTTTAACTCTTAGAACATCAAAATACTTACTATGTTTTGGTAAGTAGATGTTGTGATTAAAAGTGACACGAAGTCAGTCATAGCAGAGCTAGAACAAAGCTACTGAAGAAAATAAAGAAAATGGGAGGGAACTGGTTTTTTAATTGATACTGGCTGGGTGTCAGTATGGCATGGTATTAAGAAGCCCAAACCAGTAGATTTAGTCCCTCTCGGAATCTGTTAGGTTTTCCATTCCATGGCACTAGAACACATTCCTAACTAAGATACTTGCCATTTTTCACAAGTGAGGGCTGAGAGAGAATACAGACCAGAATCCTAGAGAAAGGAAGTATTACTCAAAGCGACTGCTCTACAGAAAGGGATAAATGATGTCTTATTTATAAATGAAGAGTAAAGATATCCTTAATATATTCTTCCAATTTACCATAATGATAATAATAATGACAATGAATATATATAATTAGATATAACCTTACATTTCCCCTCTTCTCAGAATTTAAATGTCTTCATTAGCCAAACCAGATCAGTGCTGACAGAAGAAGAAGAAAATCAAGAGTCTGATGCTGCGACTACTACTTCTCCCTGAGAGACGACACTTGGTCTTGTGGATTTAGCCCGCATATCTCAGTCGCCGCCACCAACCTGACATCTTCTAGGAGGTTCAGATTCCAGAATCTATTACTCTGGACATATACAACTGAATGAGCACAGACAGCCCACGTGCAGTGTATCTTTGTCCCCTAACTTGCTTCACCATTTTTTATACCTAATTTCAATTTGGGGGACCACTTTTCACCCACCTATTGCCTCCTTAAAAACCAGCTATTGAAACTTTATAAAAATTTCTTCTTTCTCCTACTATCTGGT